AGATATTATTAGCAAAGGTATAGAGGATATAAGGACAAAGTGAATGAAAATTTTATTTTATATGTATTTTTGAGACAGAGTCTTGCTCTGTCACCCTGGCTAGACTGCAGTGGCACAATCTTGGCTCATTACACCCTCGACTTCCCAGGCTCAAATGATCCTCCCATCTCATGAGTAGCTGAGACTACATGCGCACACCACCACACCTGGCTAATTTTTTATTTTCTTTTGTAGAGATGGGGTTTCGCCATGTTGCCCAGGCTGGTCTTGAACTCCTGAGCTCATGCAATCCTTCCGCCTTGGTCTCCCAAAGTGTTAAGATTACAGCCGAGAGCCATCATGTGCAGCTAAATGAAAATTTTAGAACTAAAACAGAATAATCACAATAAAAAAACTTAAAGGATGGGCTCAACAGCAGAATGGAGGGGATAGAGGAAAGAATCAGTGAACTAGAAGACAGAACATTGGAAATTAGTCTAAACAACAGAGAAAAATTACTGAAAAGAAATTCTCAAGGACTTGTGTAACAACAACAAAGGGTCTAACATTTGTGTCACTGGAGTTCTGGGAGAGAGAAAGAGTGAAATGCAGAAAAAACATTTAAAGAAATAATAGCTGAAAACTTCCCATGCTTGGCAAAAGTCAAACCTATATATTCATGAAGCTGAGTAAACTGCAAATAGGATAAATCCAAATAAATCCATGCCCAGACATATCATAAATTGCTGAAAACTAAAGAAAAAGAAAAAAGTCTTAAAAGCAGCCAGAGAAAGTGATACATTACTGATAAGGGATGAATGATTCAAGTGACCTGATTTCTCATCAGAAATCATGGAGGGCCAGAAGGAAGAGGCATAAGAACTGTCAACCTGGAGTTCATATACAAGAATATTCTTCAGGAATGAAGGTGAAATAAAAACATTCTCAGATGAAGGCAAACTAACAAAATTCATAGCCAGAAGACCTGCTTTAAGAAAATTACTAAAGGAGGCCAGGCACGGTGGCTCATGCCTATAATCCCAGCATTTTGGGAGGTCAAGGCGGGTGGATCACAAGGTCAGGAATTCAAGACCAGCCTGGCCAATAAGGTGAAACCCCGTCTCTACTAAAAATACAAAAATTAGCTGGGCGTGGTGGTGGGTGCCTGTAATCCCAGCTACTCAGGAGGCTGAGGCAGGAGAACTGCTTGAACCCAGGAGGTGGAGGTTGCAGTGAGCCAAGATTGTACCACTGCACTCCAGCCTGGGCAGCAGAGTGAGACTCCATCTCAAAAAAGAAAAGAAAAAGGTGGAAATACACATACCATGCAAACAATCAAAAGGAAGCTGGAGTGGCTATATTAACATCAGAAAAATATTTCCATTTTTTTTTTTTTTTTTTGAGGTAGGGTCTTGCTCTGTCACCCAGGCTGGAGTATAGTGGCACAATCTTGGCTCACTGCAGCCTAAACCTCTTGGGCTCAAGCAATCCTCCCACCTCAGCCTCCCAAGTAGCTGGGACTATACATGTGTGCCACCAGGCCCAGTTAATTTTTTTTTTTTCATAGAGATGAGATCTCACTGTGTTGCCCAGGCTGATACTGGACTCCTGGGCTCAAGCAATCCTCCCACCTCAGCCTCCCAAAGAGTTGGGATTACAAGTGTGAACCACCGTGTCCGGCCTGGACACACATATATATATATATTGTTGTTGTTGTTGTTTTTGAGACAGAGTCTCGCTCTGTTCCCCAGGCTGGAATGCAGTGGCGTGATATCGGCTCACTGCAAGCTCCGCTTCCCGGGTTCACGCCATTCTCCTGCCTCAGCCTCCCGAGTAGCTGGGACTACAGGTGCCTGCCGCCACACCCGGCTAATTTTTTGTATTTTTAGTAGAGATGGGGTTTCACCATGTTAGCCAGGATGGTCTCGATCTCCTGACCTCGTGATCTGCCTGCCTCGGCCTCCCAAAGTGCTGGGATTACAGGCGTGAGCCACTGCGCCTGGCCAATATATTTTTCGAGACAGAGTCTCACTCACTCTGTTGCCCAGGCTGGAGTGGAGTGACGCAATCTCAGCTCACTGCAAGCTCTGCCTCCCAGGTTCATGCCATTCTCCTGCCTCAGCCTCCCTAGCTGGGACTACAGGTGCCCGCCACCTTGCCTGGCTAATTTTTTTGTATTTTTAGTAGAGATGGGGTTTCACCATGTTAGCCAGGATGGTCTTGATCTCTTGACCTTGTGATCCACCCGCCTCGGCCTCCCAAAGTGCTGCGATTACAGGTGTGAGCCACCACGCCTGGCCTGGATAAATATTTCAAAGCAAAGGAATTTACCTGGGATGGAGATTTTTTTTTTTCTTTTTTTTTTTGAGCTGGAGTCTCACTCTGTCGCCCAGGCTGGAGTGCAGTGGTGTGATCTCAGCTCACTGCAAGCTCCACCTCCCAGGTTCACTACATTCTTCTGCCTCAGCCTCCCGAGTAGCTGGGACTACAGGCACCCGCCACTATGCCTGGCTAATTTTTTTGTATTTTTTTTTAGTAGAGACAGGGTTTCACCATTTTAGCCAGGATGGTCTCAATCTCCTGACCTCGTGATCTGCCCGCCTTGGCCTCCCAAAGTGCTGGGATTACAGGCGTGAGCCACCGCGCCCAGCCGATCTTTTTTTTTTTTTTTTTGAGATGGAGTTTTGTTCTTGTTGCCCAGGCTGGTGTGCAATGGCATGATCACAGCTCACTGCAACTTTCACCTCCAGGTTCAAGCGATTCTCCTACGTTAGCCTCCCGAGTAGCTGGGATTACAGATGTCTGTCACCATGCCTGGCTCATTTTTGTATTTTTGGTAGAGATGGGGTTTCACCATGTTGGACAGGCTGGTCTTGAACTCCTGACCATAGGTGATCCGTCTGCCTTGGCCTCCCAAAGTGCTGGGATTACAGGCATGAGCCACCCTGCCCAGCGAGAGACTTTGACAAAAGGGTCAGTTCACCAAGAAGATATTTAATGTGTATACACCTAACAACAGAGCTTCAAATGAATAAATAAATAAATAAATAGACATAATATATTCACAGGTCAAAATACTCACCATGGTAAAGGTCAGCTCTCTCCAAACACATTTATAGATTTAATGCAATATAAATCCCAGCAGGATTTTTTTTTTTTTTTTAAAGATACAGATGAGCTGATGCTACAATTTACATGGAAGGGTAAAGGAACCAGACTAGCTAAAACAATTTTGGAAAAGAATGAAGTTGGAAGAATCACACTACCTGATTCTAAGATTTACTATAAAGCTATTAATAATCAAGACAGTGTGGTACTGATGAAGAAACAGACACACACAAATCCAGAGAATATAATGGAGAATCCAGAAATACAGTCACAAAAAATATGGCTATTTGATTTTTGAAAAAGGTGCAAAAGAATTTCAATGGAGAAAGCAACTCACCATAACCAAAGCTGGGGATACTATGGTGAAAAAAATCCAAGACTATATACAAATGACCAGCAAAACAGGAATTGGTGGGTGTAGTTGGTTACTAACTCTGATACATACTGATGCAACACACAATGTACGTATTCAGGACAAAGTTTCTAAACTAATAGGTCAAACAAACAAGGAAGACTTGTTCTGGATTAACCTGTTAAAAATTTAATCTTTTCATTTATGGTCATCAAAAAGACTCCAAATGAGAAACAGACCACCTTCTATTACTTCATGTTAATTTTGGCCATGTGTCAAAATTAACTTCTGGGAAAAGTAAAAAATCAAACAGTGGCCAGGTGCCGAGGCTCACGCCTGTAATCCCAGCACTTTGGGAGGCCGAGGCGGTGGATAACTTGAAGTCAGGAGTTCAAGACCAGCCTGGCCAACATGGTGAAACCCCATCCCTACTAAAAATACAAAATTTAACTGGGTGCGGTGGCGCATGTCTATAATCCCAGCTACTCGGGAGGCTGAGGCAGGAGAACTGCTTGAGCCCAGGAGGTGGAGTTTGCAGTGAGCCAAGATTACGCCATTGCACTCCAGCCTGGACGACAGAGTGAGACCCTGTCTCAAAAAAAAAAAAAAAAAAAAAAAATCGAACAGTAATTAATGCTTCAGTTTAATCCAAAGTTAGGTCTAAAATGCTATTAAACAGAAATATATAAACTCTTTGATGAAAAATATGCAGAAAGAGCAAAGGACCAATAGATGATTTCAAATATTTAACAATAATATGATTATTTTTATTATTATTCAAATAACCTAACAAATTAACTTTCTTTGAAGAGACTGGCAATTTAGCTTCACCACAGTTAGGCTATATATGACACAGCTGTTGCAACGCACAGCTTTTCAAGTCCTTGCTTTAAATACCAATTAGAAAACCCAGAAAGGGAGAAGGAAAGGGTGACAAAAAATAAAAATTCTGAATATTTGTAGTCAGAGGCAATACAAGAAATAGAATTAAAAAGAATTCTTACAGGCTATGTATCTTAATGTATACAGCAGGATATACACACCCAAGTTTGTACTTAAGTTACAAAGCACCTATGACCCAACCATGCAACTGAATAGCTAAACAATCCCAAGAATTCATATCTCTACATATGTGTTCTTCCCCTATTCCGTATGTCTTACCTTCTTAAATCCCTACCCCCATGAGATAATTGCTCCCTTTTTTTGTACCACTGGTAATAAAGAAATATTGGGAACATTTTCAGTGGGGAAATTAGTATATACTCATCTTGAGTAGAAAAACTAACATATCTGTTTCCTATTCATACAGCATGGCAGCAAGCAGCATCCCTACTGCTATGAAACTTTATAATGGTGTCATCACTATTAAAAGTATCAGTTATACTACTCTCGTAAAGCCTTCACACAATTGATTTTTATGTGACCTCATCCTGAAATATTCTATTACCCCAATCAAAATAAGCCTATTTTTTTCAACTACTGAAAATAAAAGTGTTTAAACATACCACAGCATACCACTGCTACTAGAAAATGGAACAAGATTTACTTATCATCAACTTACCTCATGTAAATTCAATTCTTTTACTTTCTCTTTTAATATAACCTGTAAGACAAAAAAGTATGTTCTTATGCCCATTTAAATCTGTAATTTTAAATAGTTTTCATATGCACACATATTTTTATTTTGTATATATGGCTCATTTCCCTCATACTCAATATTGGAGAGAATTTCTTTTACAGTTTGAGACAGATCATTTTAGCCCCATTTTTTTAACCTGAGCAATGATGCAATATTCTCCTAAAAAAGGAATTTTGGCCGAGCACAGTGGCTCACACCTGTAATCCTAGCACTTTGGGAGGCCGAGGCAGATAGATAGCCTGAGGTCAGGAGTTTGAGACCAGCCTGGTCAACACAGTGAAACCCTGTCTCTACTAAAAATACAAAAATTAGCTGGACGTGGTGGCGCCTGGCCAGCTACTCGGCAGGCTAACGCAGGAGATTCACCTGAACCCGGGAGGCGGAAGTTGCAGTGAGCCAAGATTGCTCCATTGCACTTCAGCCTGGGCAACAAGAGTCAAACTCCGTCTCAAAAAAAAAAAAAAAAAAAAAAAAAGTAAGTCAATCTTAATTTTGAAAGTTTTGACTCCATGGTGACCAGACAGTAGTTAAAATGAATGCCAAGTGATAAGAAGGAAGTTTGCTATTTAAGAAAAAACTCTGAGACTAAATATAGCTTATTAGAGTATATTTCATCTTAAAGTGAAGAAAATAGGCAAGTAAAATTTCAGGGGAAAACTTCTAAATGTTGGTGTCTTACATTCCTGAACTAAAAATGGATTTGAGGGTAAATCCTGTTTTCAGAAATCACACTAGAAGCTACTATCAGGTCTCATAGGGATATACTAAATTTCCTATCCAGTATATTTTAAAGATCAAATTTACTGTATGTCTTGTGACTTGACTAGTTTTATCAGTCAGTTTCACTTAAGTGACTGCAAAGGCCAATTTTACTTTCTAGTTAGCCTACATACAAATATCTTGTAAGTTGTCAAGATCATAATAGGTGGCCAGGCACAGTAGCTCACACCTGTAATCCCAGCACTTGGGGAGGATGAGGCGGGCGGATTGCTCGAGCCCAGGACTTTAAGACCAGTCTAGGCAACACAGCGAAACCCTGTCTCTACAAAAAATACAAAAATTAGCGAGGTGTGGTGGTGCACGCCTGTAATCCCTGCTACTTGGGAGGCTCACTTGAGCCCAGGAGGCAGAGGTTGCAGTGAGCTGAGATTGCACCACTGCACTCCAGCCTGTGTGACAGAAGTGAGACCCTATCTCAAAACAAAACAAAACAAAACAGATTATGATAGAAGCCTGAGAAACATGGTGAGACCCCATCTCTACAAAAAGTACAAAAATTAGCCGGGGGTGGTGGTGTGCGCCTGTAGCCCCAACTATGCATGCCACCACACTCAGCTAAGGTGGGAGAATCACCTGAGCCCAGGGAGGTCAAGGCTGCAGTGGGCTGTGATCATGTCACTGCAGTCCAGTCTGGGTGACAGAGACCCTGTCTTAAAAAAAGAAAAAAAAAAAAAAAGATTATGATAGGACTGAGGCGAAAATATTCATTCATTTAGAAAACTAAAATACTCAACTCTGATTATGGATCCCACATGAGACCTATGAGAGTGTGGGGTTACCTAAGGACATCAGTATGTCCATCTAGGGAAGGTGCCAATGAGCTCAGATTTCAAAGATACAAGGACAAAAGATGAACAGAAAGATAAGCAGTCCTGGCTGGGCATGGTGGCTCACACCTGTAATCCCAGCACTTTGGGAGGCCAAGGCAGGCAGATCATGAGGTCAAGAGATCAAGACCATCCTGGCCAACATAGTGACATGGTGTCTCTACCAAAAATATAAAAATTAGCCGGGCGTGGTGGCAGGTGCCTGTCGTCCCAGCTACTTGGGAGGCTGAGGCAGGAGATCACTTGAACCCGGGAGGTGGGGGTTGCATTGAGCTGGGATCTCGCCATTGCACTCCAGCCTGGCGACAGAGTGAGACTCCGTCTCAAAAACAAACAAAAACAAGATAGGCAGTTCTGAAGTGTTACAGTTCCATAACATCAGTGTCAGCAAGGTTAAAGACTCAAAGAAGGTGAAGCTCCCCTGTACCCAAGAAGAACGCTAAGAGTAACAAAAAATAAGATTTTCATGCTTAGAGCCCAAGGAAAGTCTAGGCCACCTGTTTGGTGTTAGTGGTAAAATATTAATGGAAGAAAAAAATAATTTTACTTGGCCTTGAAGAAAAGATAAGTGTATTAACTTAAAGACAAAATCAGTGAAGGACTAGGTCATTAACAGCTATGATCCAAGTTTGCAGACTTCTAGTGGATAATATGAGTTAACATTTAAAGTACAAAAGGCAGTAGATGAGATCACTGTAACACAGCTGGTCACCTCCGAGGAACTATGTCTTCTAATAAAGAAGGAAGGAAAAATTTCACTTAATGGTATCTCAGAACTCCATTAAGTTGACAGTAACTTTAAGAATTACAAGCTATATAGCATTTCTCTTTAGCAAACTGTTGGCTCAAGTTTCCTGCTAAATTATATCATTTGAACTTTCCATAGCTTCAAGTAATGCTTATAAAATAAGAGAATAATACTTAAGAAAATGAAGTTGATATATTATACTGCAAATTGGCGGTGAGATGCTAAAATGAACACAAGTAAATTCAGTCCCAGTTTAAAGTATGAGTGGAAATCAGAGTTCTCAGTTTTTTTGGAGAAAAAAAACTCAAAGCCAAACTGAATTAAATTTCTCACCTGTTTGTAGGCATAAAATTCTTTGTGTGCTTGATGTCTTAGCCTAAAAGACAGAAATTAGCAATGCAATATTGAGATTTCAAACATAGTAACTTGAAGAAAAATAAAAAGCTGCTGGTTTTGGTATTAATTTATATCATTTATGGCTCAAATGATATAAATTAGAACCTTTACCCTGAAATGCACCCAAATGACGTATCTCTTAACATGTTACGTGAAAGTGACCAGGGAACCATGAAATGTTACCCAAACGTAAGATGACTCAATTCTTTTTATACTGACAGTCTACTTATTTCAATAATATTTATATTTTTTCTTAATTAGAAAAAATGTCAGTATAACATACATCCAATGAAGTATAAAAACCTTAAGTATACAGCTCAAAATCTTAAAAAATGTACATACCAGGATAACTATTGCTCATATCAAGACATGGTACATTTCCAGCACATCTGGGCCCTCTAAAATGACCCTTCCTAATCAATATCCATGCCCCAGAGGTAGCACTATCCTGATTTCTAATACTGTAGACTAATTATATCTGTTTTTGAACTTCATGTAAATGGATCATTTGGTATATACTCGTTTGTGTTTGGTTTCTTTCAGTCTACAATGCCTTGTGAGATTCTTCCATATGGTTGTAGTAATTGTCTTTCTGACTGACATACAGTATTCCATTGTATGAATATAGTATCATTTATTTATCCATTTTACTGCTGATGAATATTTAACTACTTCCTGTTTGAGGGTATTACTAATAAAGCTGATACACAAATTCTACATGTCTTTTAGTGGACATATACACTCATTTCTGTTAAGTATATACCCAGGAGTAGAACTGCTGGTTCAAAGTACCACACCAAGGCTGGGCACTGTGGCTCATGCCTGTAATCCTAGCACTTTGGGAGGCCGAGGCAGGCGGATGGCCTGAGGTCAGGAGTTCGAGACCAGACTGGCCAACATGGAGAAACCCCCAACTCTACTAAAAATACAAAAATTAGCCAGGCGTGGTGACATATGCCTGTAATCCCAGCTACTTGGGGGGCTGAGGCAGGAGAATCACTTGAACCCAGGACGTGAAGGTTGCAGTGAGCCGAGATCATGCCACTGCACTCCAGCCTGGGTGATACAGTGAGACTCTGTCTCAAAAAAAATCAAAGTACTCACCCCGGCTGGGCACAGTGGCTCCTGCCTATAATCACAGCACTTTGGGAGGTTGAGGCAGGAGGATCACTTGAGCCCAGGAATTCGAGACCAGCCTGGGCAACACAGCGAAACCTCACCTCTACAAAAAATACAATTATCTGGGCATGGTGGCGTGTGGCCTGTAGTCCCAGCTACTCAGGAGGCTGAGGCGGGAGGATTGCTTGAGCCTGGGAGGTGAAGGCTGCAGTGAGCTGGGACTGTGCCACCCCATTCCAGCCTGGGTGGACAGAGTGAGATCCTGTCTCAAAAAAAACAAAAAGAAAAAGAAAAAACAACCTCATAACAATTTTACTCCTATGGGTAGTTCACGAGAGTTCTAGGTGTTCACATCTTTGCAGGTTAAGTTTGAAAAATTTTAAATTTAAGTAAGTCTAATTTATCAACTTTTCTCAATTAGGTTAGTTCTTTTTGTGTCCCATTAAAGAAATCTTTGCCTATCCCAAGACTATGAAGATATTCTCCCATGTTGTGAAAACAATTTGTTGTTTTACCTATAGAATATAGGTCTATGATCCATCTGAAATTGGTCTTTATGTATGCTGTGAGGTAGGGGTCCAGATGCTTTTTATCCTCATGTAGATTTTCATTTGCCTCACCATCATTTATTGAAAAGATTCTCCCCTTTCCCCACTGCACTGCAGTGGCACATCTGTTGTAAATCAGATGTATCGAATATGTGAGTCTATTTCTAGAGCTGCTATTATTATGCTCCATTGGTCTATTTGCCTATCCTTGTATACTGACTGGGGTGAACGTGTCCCCCTCAGCTCCCAATTCATGTCAAACTGGAACCTCAGAATATAACCTTATTTGAAAATAGGGTATTTTCAGATTATTAGTTTGTTAAGATGAGGTCATACTGGATTAAGGTGAGCCCTAAATTCAATTTGACTGCTATCCTTAGAAGAAGAGGAGAGGATACGCAGAGACAGACGGAAAAGAAGGCCATGTGAAGACAGAGACAGAGACTGAAGTGAGGCAGCTACAAGCCAAGGAATGCCAAGGCTTTCTGGTACTCCCTGCAAGCTAGGAAAAGGCAAGAAAGACTCTCTCCTAGAGCCTCCAGAGGAAGCATGACTCTGCCAGTACTTTAAGTTTGAACTTTTCTAGCCTTCACGATTGTGAGAAATTACATTTCTGTTTTAAGTTGCCCAATTTGTGACACTTTGTTATATCAACACCAAGCAACCAATGTACCTTATGTCAATATCATGCTATTTTAAAAACTTTTATTTTGAAATAATTTTAGACGGAAAAGTTGCAAAAAATAGAATTCACATATACCTTTCTACCAGCTTTCACATTTATATAACCATAGTTGTATATACTATGTCCACATTTAATACAACCAGAGTACAATTGTCAAAACCATTAAATTAACATTGATATATTAGTATTGATGTAACGCTGATGTATTATGAACTAAACTACAGACCTTATTTGAATTTTACCAGTTTTTTCTCTCATGTCCTTTTCCTGTTCTATGATCCAATCCAGGATCCCACCTTGCATCTAGCTATGTCTCCTTAGCCACCTCTAATTTGTTTTTTTTGTTTTGGAGACAGTCTCGCTCTGTCACCCAGGCTGGAGTGCAGTGGCATGATCTCAGCTCACTGCAAGCTCCGCCTCCTGGGTTCACAACAGTCTCCTGCCTCAGCCTCCTGAGTAGCTGGGACTACAGGTGCCCAGCAACACACCCGGCTAATTTTTTTTGTATTTTTAGTAGAGAGGGGGTTTCACCGTGTTAGCCAGGATGGTCTAGATCTCCTGACCTCGTGCTTCACCCGCCTCAGCCTCCCAAAATGCTGGGATTACAGGCGTGAGCCACCGTGCCTGGCCAGCCACCTCTAATTTGTTGAGAGTTCCTTAGTCTTTCCTTGTCTTTCAAGATTCTGACATATTAAGTATGATCACTTTTTCTTGGTGGAATTTGAAGATTTCAATTTAAGATTAAGACAGTGTCCACTGGGTTTCTCCACTGTAAAGTTGTTAATTTCTCCTCTGTAACTGATAAATATCTTGAGGGAGATATGCTGAAATTCTACACATCCTCTATTTTTTTTCTCAAGCTTTTGCCCACCAATTTTAGCATGCACCTTGCTTGCAATAATTACTGTAGTGTTTGCCTAAATTCTAATGGTGGTTTTGTAGTTCTCTAATTCCTTGCACATTTGTTAACTGGAGTTCTTCTATAAGGAAGAGATGTGCTTCCTTATTTATTTGTGCAATTATTTATTTCTAGCAGTCTAGACTCATGGATATTGGTTTTAATCTATGGGAAGAGATGTGCTTCCTTGTTTATTTGTGCAATTATTTATTTCTATCAGTCTAGACTCATGGATATTGGTTTTAATCTATGGGAAGAGATGTGCTTTCCTCATTTATTTGTGCAATTATTTATTTCTATCAGTCTAGACTCATGGATATTGGTTTTAATCTATGGGTTACAGTTCAATATGATCACTACTTTTTGTTGCTCAAACTGACTGGCCTGAGTCCTTCAGGCTGATTCTTGTGTCCTTTCAACAAGCCCCCATCCTTTCCCATGTATTTCCTTATTTACTGGCACCAAAAGATGTTTCAGGCTCATTTTATATGTTCTGGGTTCCAGTCCCGGGGTTAGCCACTTCTTCCAAGGAACCCTAATTCCTTTTACTGGAGAAAAGTATTTAGAACTTCAGATATGGGTGCCTGGTAAATAGCACTTTCACTTAATATTGTTGATTTAAAACAAGTTTTGGGGTCTGGTAGTAAAAGTCCTCAAGTTTTATTCTTTTTAATGACTGGCTTGGCTATTCTTGGTTCTCTGCATTTCCATATAGATTTCAATTGCCACCAGAAAGGAAAAAAAAAACCCTCTTGGGATTTTGGGTGAGAATGTATGAAATTTACAGATCAATTGAGGAAGAACCGACATTTTTGCAAGACTGAGTTTCTAACCTAAGAACATTATTTCTTTATTTACAGCTTTCATGTCTCTCTCACACATTTCTCCTAGACATTTGGTAATTTTTGATGCTACTGTAAATAGTATTTTAAAAATCTTTTATTTTCTAATTATTTCTTGCTACTTATATGGAAAAAAGTAATTTTTGTATATTGATCCTGTATCTGGTGACTTGCTAATTCTAAATAGTTTTTCTGTAAAAACTTTTGGATTTTTTAATGTACATAATTATGTTGTCTGCATATAATCACAATTTAAATCCTGCCTTTATAATCTTTATATACTTCTTTTCTAAATACACTTTTCTTTTATTCTTTTTTTCCCTGTTTTTTTGCACTGACTAGCTAGGCCCTCCAGTATGATGCTAAATAAAAGTGATAGTGAATGTCCCTATAAATACATCACTATTAAGTATGATGTTTTCTTTAGTTTTTTTTGTAGATACCCTTTCAAATTTTAGAAAGTTCTCTTGTAGTACTAGTTTATTTTACAAAAAAATCATGAATAGGTATTAAACTTTATCAATGCTTTATGATACTATACTATTAATGTGCTATATTGTATTGATTGATATTCAAATCATTCTTGGAACAAACTTCATTTGGTTGTAATATTCTACCTTTTTTGTAGATCCCTGGATTTGATTTATAATATTTTGCTGATGAAAAGATCGGTCTATAATTTCCTTTCTCATAATATCATTGTCAGGCTTTGAAATCAAAATTATGCTGGCCTCATGAAATGAGTTGAGAAGTATTTGTTCCACTTTTATTCTCCGGAAGTGTCATATAGTAGTGGTACTTTTTTCCTTAAATGTTTGGATCAGTTACTTGGCTTAAAATATCACTGTGGGAATGTTTTAAAAATACATTCAATTTCTTTTCTCTTGT